TCTTCCTTCAAAAGGCTGACTAGAAACAGCAGTTTCTGTATACAATTTGACTACACAGAATTCTGTGTAATAACAAACATCTTTTTATTACAGTCACCTTCCAACAGAATGATCCTAGAATAAAAGTTTGTGAAAACAGGGAATTTTTTTTAATGTATGTTCTTGTCCTAATGCCTTCTATATACATAGCAGCCACTCAGTAAATACTTATTTGATAAATAAATGGCATAATGACTTATAATTATGTAAATAAATGTTTAAGAAGATGCTTGGATCTATTTCAAACATACCAACACAAATGTAGTCCTTCCAGATTGATTTCCCATTCATCTTGTCTGGATTTCCTTTGTTCCAGTGCAGCAACAGCTACTCTTCCCCCGCCCCTCTTATACTAGAGATTAAACTCAGAGCCTTCCCACTGAGCTGCATCCCAACTCATTTAAAATTTTTTTTTTTCTTTTTTCTGTATTTAGGATGGGGTCTACAGGGTCTCACTATGTAGATCAGACTTGTAGTGATTCTCCTGTTTTCAGTCTCCCAAGTGCTGGGATTACAGGTGTGTACCACGCCCAGTCTCCATGGCCTTCTCAGCATGCTCTGCAGGTGAGGCCGGCATGCATGCTGGGGATTGAACCCTGGCCGCTGTGCTCTGTCTAAGCAAGCACTTTAGGCCACTGAGCTATCAGGCTGGCTCCATTTTTAAATTTTGCAGTCTCACGAAGTCCCAAGTTTCCTAGACTTGGTTTGAATTTGTGTTCCTCCTGCCTCATCCTCCCAGGGCATTGGGATTGCAGGCATGTGCTACTACCCCAGGGTACAGTTTTCTTTCTTTTATCTAGCTAGGGTTTTGGTGTTATCTGAAACTCATAGTGCTCTGTGTAGCTCCTAGACACTGTGTCTTGCCTGCCAGAGATAGCTTCTGCATCCCAGATGCAGCCTGTCAGCACTCTGTGTGGCTTGCATTCATTGTTTATTAGACTTTTCCCAGCTCCACATTCCCTTGATTCACTCTCTTCCATATTAGGTGATGAGCTTTATTTTGTTTCTTGTTCTCTCCCCTTCTCTTTCTTTTCTTTTTTCTTCTTTGCCTCTCTGATTGAACATAGGGCCTTGTACGTGCTAGGTGAACACTGTACCACTGAGCTGCATCCATAGTCTTCTTTATTTTGAGGCAGGGTCTCACTGAATTGGCCAGGGTGGCTTGACACTTGTGATCCTCCTGCCCGCCTTCCTAGCAGCCGAGACTCAAGCGTGCACCACCACACCCAGCTCTAGGTGGTGAGCTTCACAGTTAAACTGACTGATGAGGAGTCAGATGTCCTACCTTTACAAAGGTGTAGGGCTGGGGAGATAGCTTAGTGGACTAAGCATCTGCCCAGCAATTGCAAGGTCCCGAGTTCAATCCCTGGTATCAAAAAAGAAAAAGAAAAAAAAAAAAACATACAAAGGAATGTGAGTTCGTACAGACAAGGGTTGCAGAATAGTGACAAGAATGGATCCATAGAAATCAGCTTCTTCCCAGCTAACTGGGCCCAACTTTAATTCTTAGGTGGTTCACTCCTAAATTCTAATTGTGATAATTACTTACATTTTAAAAAAATATTTCCTGTGTGCTGATGTTTGTCTCATGCACATTTGTTGTTTCATTCAGTCTTTCTAATAATCTTATGTTACAGACATTCCCTTTGACCAGAGTAATGAAAAGTGGAAGCGGAACTTGAACGCATACCCTCTAATGTCAGAGCTCTTGACTCTTCTCCTGTGTCGTTTCCTAACTCATCCCAAGCTAGTGAGTTTCAGCCAGTTACTAGAGCCCACACCTTGTTGTCAGTATTGTGTGGATCTTTCCTCAGCTTCTTTTCTTTCAAGTTTCCACTAAGCTTTGGGATAAACCCACTGAAATTCTAATATTTCCTTATTAGTTAAAATGTGGAAGCAGCTTGTCTTACAAACTCTGTTGCAATCTTATAGCTGACACATGGCTCCCTACTCAGCTCCTTTGTGTTTCAGTCGTTTGCTGAGCTTGCACCCTGTCTGTCAGGTTTGAGGAATGTGGCACAGAGGGGTTAGCCATGGATCATGCCTCGCCAGGCTGGCTTCGTACTCACAGAAATCCGCCTGCTTCAGCATGCTTAGTGCTGGGATTAGGGCTGTGCACCACTATGACTGGTTTAAAATTTATATATAAATATAGCCTGTTGGTTAAAAAAAAAAAAAGAAAAAAACTTTCAAGGGCTGGCCAAATAGATCAGCGGATTAAAGCACCTACAAGCAAGCGCAGGGGCTGGGGGTTTGATCCCTGGGTCTGCTGTGCTGGCCCCACCCCTGGGGCTCACTGAGATGGCAATTGAGACTGGACGTGGTGGCACGTGTTTGTAATCCCAGATCTTGGGAAGCTGTAAACAGGGGATCACTATGAGTCTGATCTAGTTGTGAGACCCTGAACACCCTGTAGACCTTCCTTAAAATACAAAAAAAAGAAAGAAAAAACTTCAGTGATAATAGACATATGTAAACTAAACAAATGAAAGTCAACCTTTCTTCCTGTACAGTACCATTACTCACTATGAACCTAGACTGGCCTTGAAGTTGCAATGATCTTCCTGCTTTTTCCTCCCTAATGCTGGGATTATAGGCATGCACCATTATACCTAGCTTATTTATTTTTTGAGACTGTCTTTCTATATAGCCCAAGCAGGCTTGACCTCACAATGATTCTCCTGCCTAAGCCTCTCAAGCGCTGGGACTGTAGGTGTGTGCCACCAAACCCCACACATTGTAACATTTTATTAACCATTTATGTTTATTTTTCTGTAACCCGTGTGTATTACTTTTGCTTATTTTTCTGTTGGGTTATCTTTTTTATTATATATTTAGAAGAGTTCTTTGTGAGTTAAAGACGTTAGTCTTTTTGTTATATTTTTATTTTATTTTTTAAAATTTATGTATTTGTTACAGGGCCTTGCTATGCAGCTCGGACTCAGAGTGATCCTCCAGTTTTAGCCTCCTCAGCACTGGGATTACAGGAATGTGCCACCACACCCAACTTCTGGCATGGCATGTGGTACTGGGGATCAAACCTGGGTCCTTACATCCAGGTCCTTGCGCTTGCCAGGCAAGCACTTAGACTGCTGAGCTATCTCTCCCCGGCCCTGTTTTTTTTTTTTTTGAGACAGAGTCTTGTTATATAGTCCAGGCCGGCCTTGAACTTGCAGCAATCCTCCAACCTTAACCTCACAGGTGCTGAGATTATAGGCATGTGGCACCATGTCCTCCTGGATGTTAACCTTTTATTATTCACTAAATGTGTTTATTGCTTCCAATTCTTTGTTTATAAAATATAGATAGAACTTCAGATTGGATAGACTAGGTATGGTAGCACATGCCTGTAATCCCTACACTTGGGAGGCTGAGGCAGCAGAATCATTGGGAATTTGAGGCCAACTTGAACTACATAACGAGACCCTGTCTCCAAATAAGATAACAACAACAACAACAACAACAAAATGCAGATTGAATATGCTAACCTACTTGCTTTTTCCAGATCACCCAGAAAATATTTTTGAGTCTATTTATTTATTTTTTTATTTATTTTGAGACCGAATCTTGCTACATAGTTCAGTCTGGCCTTGAAGTCACACATTCATTCATTCATTCATTCATTCATTCATTCATTCATTCATTCATTCTTTCTGCATGTAATCAGCTAGTGGTAGAGCTGAAACAATCATCAAGTTTTTTTTCCAGTTTAGTGCTTTTTCCATTATACCATTTAAAAATATTTATTTATTTATTTGGTAAAGAGTCTTGTTACACAGCTTGGACTCATAGTGATCCTCCTGTGTCAGCCTCCCCAGTGCTGAGATTACAGGTGTGTGCCACCACACCTGGTTTCCAGCATGGCATGTTGTACAGAGATTGAACCCAGGTCCTAGCACTTGCTGGGCAGGTGCTTAGGCCACCAAATTATATCTCTGGCCCATTTTTATTTTTTATTTTATTTTATTTTAATTTTTGTATTTAGTAGAGTGTCTGTACAGAGTCTCACTACAGAGATCAGACTCGTAGTGATTTTCCTGTTTTCAGCCTCCCAAGTGCTGGGATTACAGATGTGTGTTACCATGTCATCATACCTTTTTTTTTTTTTTTTTTTTTTTTTGCAGAGCCAGGAATTTGAACTCAGACCCTTACACTTGCCAGGCAAGCATTTATTCTACTGAGCCATCTCCCCAGCCCCATTATACCATTTTTAAAGCTTACTAAGCTCCCTTTCCACCACTGGTTTTGCTACTACATATTGGTGCAACCAGATGTTTCACAGTATTTTTTTTTTTTTTTTTTAACACAGGACAATCCAAACTGATGCAAGATATTTATTCCGAATTAGTTATTTTATGCAGTAGTTTTTCCCCCTCAACAGACTTGTGATAACCACATCTTTTAAAATCTGTAAATAATGTTATCAAAATAACCTTAATCTTTGAAATCTCACAAAAATTTATATTTTACAATCCACCCTGAATATCAAGGCTGCAAGAATAACACATTTGCTATATCCAAATATTTTACAGCTGTACCCAGAAGGAAAACAAACAAACAAAAAGCCATATACCTGGTTAAGGGCTAAAGTTACCTGAGCAGCCAAAAATAAAATAAAATATCCAAATTATTAGCATTAATTTAATACAATTATAACTTCAATCATCACTTTGTCATTGACAATGATTGCTAGAGCACAGGGGTGAGTGCCCCAAGGGCTTACTAGTAGAAGCTGCTGCCATAGAGTAGTGTCCCTTCCTTTCCGTCTCTGCACTGCCAGCTCCCACCATTAATTTTAGAAATTTATCATTGTGGCATCTTAATCAAGTTAATCAAACGGGAACGTGTGGCTTCACAGGTATTGGATTGTTTTTAGTACCTGGTAACTCAGCTAGTTTCTCTGTATGGAATTTATATTCACATCCTTTTCATTTTGTTTAAAAATCTGTTTTGTTTTTCAGGTTCATGGGTGTGTGTGTACATCAAGGACAGCTGCATGCACTCACAGAGGTAAGTGTGCTGCAGGTATGTGGAGGGGACTGCTGTGCCTTAGTTTCATGATTTGTGGGTCTGTAGTGAGAGTTATTTGTGTCTGTGAGCAAGATGTTTCATGTGTTTGTATTTATACAACACAAACAGTATTCATGATGCTTTCTTTGTTGCCTTGAGACCATGACCATGTCTCTTGATGCCCTTGTATTCCCTTGTAATGCTTGGTGAATGCACCAAGAGTAGTGGATGTTCAGGGGTTAAACAGCTTGTTTCCTGGATGACTCCCTCCTAAGCCAAGGGAGGGTATCCCTGGACCACTTTTCTTCCTGGCAACAAATTCTCAGACCTCCTGGGAAATGTTTGCTGTCCTCATCTGTAATCCCAGTCACTGCTCGAGAGTCCTGATTGGTCTTATTACTTTGGAAACAGGTAGCTTCTTCATTCACATTTATTCTCTGGCCTCTGGGAAGCAGATAAATATATGATAGTCATTACTTATCTGCCAAAGGCCAAAAACCCCTAGAACAAAAAGCTTTCTAAATTCAGGCAGCATTATGAGCTTCAGAATGTGCTTGAATACTTCTTGGGAACACATATTCCTGGAATCTTCTAGGCTTGATAGGGGTGCATAGATCCCATTTGGTTTTTTTTTTGTTTGTTTGTTTTATTTTTTTGTTTGTGGGGCTGGTGAGATGGCTCAGTGGTCTAAAGCACCTACTCAGAACAAGCTAAGCTAAGCAAAGCACAGGGACCGCGGTTCAATCCCCCGCACCACATGCCAACCAGCCCCGCCCCCTGGTGGTCTGAGCTGGCCACACACACACAAAAATATAAATAAATAAAATTTTATTGTTTTGTTTGTGTTTGTTTGGTATTGGCAGTTTGTCTCAGGCCTTCTGCCTGCTAGGCCAGTGCTCTATCACTAAACCACATCCCCTAGCTTTTTTTTTTTTTTTTTCTTAGTTTCTCAGCCTTTTGGCTAAAATGAAACTTATTTATACGTTTGTTTTTCAGTCCTTGGCAGTGAATCCAGGACTCACTGAGTTAGAGCCCCAGCCATTTATTTATTTATTTATTTATTTATTTATTTATTTATTTATTGCAGAATCGCACTGAATTGCCCAGGTTGGGCTCAGACTTGCCTGTCTCAACCTCTCAGAATGCTGGGATTATAGGCATGTGCCACAAAGTCAGCTATTTATTTAATTTATTTATTTATTGGATATTGAACTCAGGACTTTGTGCTTGCCAGGCAGACACTTAATGCACTGAACTATATTCCTGGCTTAGTTCCTTTTTTATTTTCTATTTTGAGATGAGGTCTCGTTAAATTTCCCAGGCTGGTTTTGAACCTGTTGTGATTCTCCTGTTTCAGAATAGCTAAAATTAGAAGTATGTACTACCACACCCAGATCCTATCTGGAGTCTTGAAAGATTATTCTCATCTATGTTTTTAGATTTCTCTTTGAGAAGTACTGAAGTAAAAAGTGAAGAAACTTAGGAAGGAAACTTGCTTAACAGAATTTGTAGAAATTTTTGTTTGCCACTGAATGGACCTGGTATAAAGCGAGTTCCATGTACCTCTTTTTT